CCCGCCCTGTGCTGCTGGCAGCCCTCCCGCCCAGCGCGTCCCCCTTCCCCGGCTCCGAACAGATAACCCTGGAGACAAGGCAGGAATTACCCCAAAGCTGGGGCCACCGAGCAGGCACCTCAGGGCCCCGGGAGAGCTTCCCCCCGGCCCCTTTACCCCCAGCCCTGCCGAGAGCAGAACAATGTCCACCACCCAGGCCGCGTGGCAGGACTGCGTCTGCATCTGCAAACCCTGCTTCCACCCCTGCTGCCCGCGCAGTGCCACGAAGTCCGGAGAACGCCGCTTTCAACTGAAACCCCAGCCCGCCGCGGTGGAGCGCCTGGTCTCCAGACAGACTCGGAAGAGGTGGTTACCTGTGCGCAGGAGTACAGCGGCGGAGCTGCTGCATCCAGGGCTCCCCTTGAACTGATCCACGTCTTGCTAACGTCAGAGACCCAGCTAAGCAACTCTCCCAGTGGCACAGGGACTTCTCTGGGACTGGAACAAGACGTCTGACAGAGAGAGAGTGTATTATTACGGGTGACGGGGGGGAGGGCAGCTCAAGGGGAGGAAGGAGAAGAAGAGATACGGAGTTTAAAATAAAAAGTCGGCACTTCCATGCGGCTGCGCTGTGCTACGACCCACCCTGAGGGGAGAGACCACGCCGTGAAAACGACACCTCCTACAAAGCCTCTCGCCTTTGGGTCCAATTTAAGACATCTGGCAAGACCCCACTTAGCCAACGGGCTCCCGTCCCAGCTGGCACCGGGACCCAGGTGCGGAGACCGGGGCTGCTGGTCGTGGCCCGGGGCCAGCAGAGCACGGACAGATGCCTGCCGATGCATTGGTCTGATCAGTCTAAGAAATCAACCTGGTACAGGGCACTTCCCAGATACACAGACAGACGGACGGACAGACGGACGGACACACATGCAGGCATCGCCGCCGACGAACAGCCACGCACGGCAACGTAAGATTCCCCGAGTGATTTGGGCAGAGAAAGCAAAGCGCAACGGAGCGGGTCAGAGCAAACAAGCAGGCCGGAGGAGGCAAAGGAAAACCTCTGGGAGGCCGAAGCCGGGCTGCAGAGAGAGGCAGGCAGGCAGGCAGGTCCATCCACACGGCAGCAGGCTCTGCGAAAGCATGGCCATCGCCCGGCATGCACTTACAGTCTGAGCGCCGAGTCCGCCGCGGCTGGGGGCAAAGCCGAGGAGGTCGTGGGAGGGGGGCAGGTCTGGACAGAGAGCGGCCCCCTCCCTTGCCTTGCCACGGGCCAGAAAGGGATCCAGAGCGGGCGCACAGGTGTCTGAATGTCCGGGGCTGGCGGAGGCCGTGGGGCGGCCGAGTCCAAGGGCACGGTCGGCCTCTCCCTGGCTCACGGAGCGCAGGAGGGCGCGGGTCTAAGAGCGTGGGACAGCGTCGTCTCCTCCTCCGGGGCGGCAGGGGGTGAAGCCGGCAGAGTTAATACAAAAGTCACTGGGTGGTTAGGATCGAAACTGCGGCGCGGCGCTGGGTCTGGCCTGCCGCGGCCAGCTGGCGTGGGCCCTGCCGGGCGGGAGCTGGCGTCTTCTCTGCGGACGGTCCGGACAGAAGCGAGCTCCGGGCTGGCTGGGCTGGGAGGGTAGTGTGTTCTCTCTCTCGTCTCGCAATATACAAATACTGTCAGAACAATCATATATATTAATATATATTAGTCGAGTCTTTTTGGTTAAACTTTAGGCACTGCTTTGGAAGAGAAGTGGAGTTTAAAAATTAAAAAAATAATAGTAGGAGGATTAGCCGGTAGCTTTATCACATGCAGAGCAGGACAGCTGGGGAGCTCCTCAGCCGGGGTCTGGGGAGCCGGAGGGAGGGGGCCTTATGCCACGCTTAGCGCTGGCCCCTGCAGTCCAGAAAGCTTCCTGCCTGCTTCCCATCCACAGCTCCCGTTTAGGCCGGACAAGGCAAGAGCCACGTCAGCTGCATCCACGGCGCTCTCGGGACCCGACGTGTATCTGCGCCCGTAGCTGGAGGAAGAGTAGGAGGAGGACGAGAAGGTCATGGAGAAGCCGGAGCCGGTGCCGGTGGCATCAAAGCTCCCTCGCCTGGAGCCTGGCCTGGATCCTGTTCGAGAGCCTGACCTAGAGCCGGAGGTGGAGCCGGAGCCGCTGACATTGTAGGGGCTGTAGTAGCCTTTGCTGGACTGGGAGGAAGCTTCCAGCAGGCGCAGGCCCGTCCCCTCCTCCACCATGCTCCTGTCCATGGCGTCCTTGTAGGAGATCTTGAGCTTGGTCTTGGGGCAGGTGAGATACTTGGAGTAGGTGTTGACGTCCCGCAGCTTCTGGGCCGTGCGCGCATCGATGGTGCCCTTCTGCAAGGCATCGTCCAGCAAGACCCGGCCCGAGACGTCGGGCTCGATCAGCCCGCCTGTCAGGTACTGCACTTCCAGGAAGCGCTGCCCAGCCTCGTAGTACAGCCAGCCCTTCTTCAAGGCCTGCGCCGCCGACATCTTGGTCTTGGTTCTTGGATCCTCGAAGCCGTAGAAGGCTTTCTGGGCAAGGTTGATCCTGTCCACCATGATCTTGTCCACCAGCCCCTTGTTGACGGCATCAGTCACGGAGAACTTCTGCCCGGTGTTGGGGTCGACGATGCCGCCGGTGCAGGCTTGGGCTTCCAGCAGCCGCTGGCCGGTGATGTTGTCCACAAGGTTGCGGTGCATGGCTTCTGTGATGGACACTTTCTCCAGGGTGTCCGTGTCCAGGATGCCAGCGACTGGACCCGTCTCCTCCGTCGGGTCGCTCCATGATGACAGCTGGGTTCTTACCGTGGCGGGGCTAATGGGGTAGGAAGACGAGGAGCCCACGGAGGAAGATCTTGACCGGAAGCCGCTCATGTTGCCGGAGAGCATGTCTGCAAACTCTGTGATGGAGAGGGTGCCGGCGCGGTACTGGTCGAGGGCGGACTGGTCGATCAGGCCCTTTCCGATAGCGTCGTCGATGTCGTACTGCCGCCCCGACCGCCGGTCAATGATCATGGACTTGACCACCCCGTCGGAGGAGGAGATGGTGATCTCCTCCCACTCGCACTCCTGCTCCGACAGCTCCAGGTAGGTCTGGTGGTCGATGAGGCCCTTGCGGTAGGCTTCGTAAACGGACATCTCCTTCCCAGTCTCTGGGTCCACAATCACCACCCGGCGCTTGCGGACGGAGGACTTGGAGGAGGTCTTTCTCTCCCGCTTCTTCTCCTTCAGAGGCAGCAGGCACAGGCTTGTCTCGGGGTCGGTGATGCACCGCTCCATGAGCTGCAGGTAGGTCAGGTTCTCCTCGGTGTTGGGGTCAAAGAAGCCCTTGGTGTCGTCGCTGGGATCCAGCAGGATCTCATTCATTTCCTCATCAAACAGGCCCCTCTTGTAGGCCATCTCTACGGGCAGTCGATGGCTTTCCTCCGGGTCAATGATGCCTCCTGTTGCAATCTGGGCCTCGAGCAAGCGAATCCCGTGATCCTTCAGGATCAAGCCCTTCTTCATGGCTTGGAAGAGGGAGATGAGCTTGCCGGAGTAGGGGTCTTTGTAGCCGGTCACCGCCCTCTCGGCGGACAGCAGCTTGTCCTTGAACTCTGGGCCCACAATGCCCATGCGCACAGCCTCTTCCACGGTCAGCTTGAGGCCCTTGATGGGGTCGATCACGTAGCCCGTGGCGGCCTGTGCCTCCAGCAGCTCAAAAGCCGTGCCCGGCCTGATGATGCCCTTCTTCATGGCCTGGTACACGGACAGCCTCTCCTTGGTGGAGTCCACAAAGACCCCGGAGATGCAGCTGGTGCCCTCCAAGAACTTCTTGATGTGTTTGGAGACCTCTTCGACGGAAGTCAGGCCTTGCTGGAGGCGCTGAGCCGTGACTTCGTCCATCACCTGGGACCGCACCAGCTCCTCCACCGAGATCTGCTTCCTCAGGCCCCGGAAGGTCAGTTTGCGGGTGTCGCAGAGGGGCAGCAGCAGCAGGTTGTTGTTCTCGTCCTTCCTGCAGCGCTTCAGGAGCTGGGTGTAGCTGAGCTTCTCATCCGTGGAGGGGTCCACGTAGCTGCAGACCTCGCTGGGCTCGGACAGCATGTCGTGCGTGTCCTTGTTCAGGTAGCCGCGCTGATAGGCGACCTCCAAGGGCAGGTGGAAGCCATAGCGCGGGTCTATGATGCCGCCCGTGGCCAGCTGGGCATCCAGCAGCTTGAGAGCTTCCTCCTCGGGGATCAGGTCCTTCTTCATGGCCTGGAAGAGGGAGATCTTCTGCTCGCTGTAAGGGTCTCGGTAGCCGGTCACTGCCCTCTCTGCAGACAGGAGCCGGTCGTGCATTTCTGGCCCCACCACGCCTTTCCTAACCGCTTCGTCCACGGTCAGCATTTCATTCTTGATGGGGTCGATCACGAAGCCGGTGGCAGCCTGGGCCTCCAGCAGGGACCGGGCCACCTCGGTGCTGATCAGCCCTTTCTTCAGGGCCTGGTAGGCGGTGAGCTTCTGCTTGGTGGCGGGGATGTAGATGCCAGCCACGCAGCCCGTCCCGTAGAGGTATTTCCAGGTGGTCTCGATCTCCAGGATCTCCCGGATGGTTTTGGAGCCCTGCTTCAGCAGGTTGTACACCTCCAGGGAGATGATCCTGGCCTCGTAGAGCTCGTCGGCGGTGATGCGGCACCGGACGTAATCGTAGGAGGTCCAGTCCTGCTGCCGGATGATCTCGGTCTTCTCGATGATCTCGATGATGATGATGATCATGCGCTCCTTGGTCACCTTGCCAGAGCGGAAGTCCTCGAGCAGCTGCTTGCGCTGCACCTCGGGGATGAGGTCCGAGTTCATGATCTCCCACAGGGACATGGACGAGCCTGCCAGGTCGCCCACGGGGATGTCGACCTGCGTGTCCTCAAACACCTTCCGGGTCTCTGCCTCGGTGTAGATCTGGGTCTTCTCCACCACGGTGGGCATCTCTGCCTTCTTCAGGGGGAAGAGGATGAGGCCGGTCTCGGGGTCCTCAATGCACCGCTCCTTCAGCTGCGCGTAGGTGAGGTTCTCCTGGGTGTTGGGGTCGAAGAAGCCCTTGGTGTCGTCGCCGGGGTCCGAGAGGATCTGGCTCATCTCCTGGTCAAAGTAGCCCCGCTTGTAGGCCACCTCCACGGGCAGGCGGTGGCTGTGCACCGGGTCGATGATGCCGCCGGTGGCGATCTGGGCCTCCAGCAGGCGGATGCCGTGGTCCTTCAGGATGAGGCCTTTCTTCATGGCTTCGAAGAGAGAGATGGTGTTCCCGGAGTAGGGGTCCTTGTACCCCGTGACCGCTTTCTCAGAGGAGAGCAGCTTCTCGTGCAGCTCAGGACCCACGATGCCTGCCTTCACCGCCTCGTTGACGTACAGCTTCTGGTTCCTTACGGGGTCGATCATGAAGCCGGTGGCTGCCTGCGCCTCCAGGAGGGTGATGGCCGTGCCTGGCCGCAGCAGGTTCCTCTTCATGGCCTCGTAGATGTTCAGCTTCTCCTTGGTCTCTTCCACGTAGATGCCGGCGATGCAGTCGCTGCCCTGCAGGAATCTCCTCAACGCGTCCGTGTCCGAGAGGTCTTTCACTGACTTCTTGCCTTCCTTGAGCTGCTCGTACTGGGCTTTGCTGAGGACCCGGGACTCTACCAGCTCGCTGGCAGGCACGGGTGCCCGGAGGCCACTGAAGGTCAGCTTCTCCTGCTTCTTGGTCTCAGTCTCCTTGATGATGGTGATCATGATCTTGATGATCTTCTCAATAGTGACCTTGCCCGTCTTGTACTGCCGGAGCAGCTCTCTCCGTTGCTCCTCAGTGAAGTACTCGGAGTGGATCAGCTCCCAAATGGTCACAGTCCTGCCCTTCAGGGCACCCGTTGGGACCTCAAGGGTTGCCTTGTCGAAGGACTCCTTGGTCTGGCTGTCCGTGTAGACCTCCTCCTGCTGGGCCTGGATGGCTTGGTCAGAGAGGGGCAGCAGGTAGAGGCCGGTCTGCTTGTCCTGCCAGCACTTCTTCTGCAGCTGGGCGTAGGTGAGGCTTTCTTGGGTGCTGGGGTCATAGAAGGCTTTGGTGTCGCTGCTGGGGGTGGCCAGGGTCTTGCTCATCTCCTCGCTGAAGTGGCCCCGCTTCGAAGCCACGTCGAGCGGGAGGCGGTGGCTGTTCACGGGGTCGACAATGCCGCCGGTGGCGAGCTGAACATCCAGCAAGCGGATGCCGTGATCGCTGGGGATGAGGCCTTTCTTCAGCGCCTGGAACAGGGACACAGTCTGCCCGGTGTATGGATCCTTGTATCCCGTCACCGCCTTCTCCGCTGACAGCAGCCTCTCGTGGAACTCGGGCCCCACGGTCCCGGCCTTCACGGCCTCATCCACGGTGAACTTCTGGTTCTTCACGGGGTCGATGATGTACCCGCTGCCTGCCTGGGCTTCCAGCAGCGGCAGGGCAACCTCTGGCTTCAGCAGGTTTTTCTTCAGGGCATCGTAGAAGGTGAACTTTTGGCCCGTCGACTCCACCAGGACACCAGCGATGGCGTCGGTGCCCCGCAGGTACCGTCTGACAGCGTCCGTGTCCGCCACGTCCTTCACAGCCTTCTTCCCCTGGTGCAGCTCGTTGTAGAGATCCTTGTTGATGATCTTGCTCTCCAGCAGCTCGGCCGCTGGCACGGGGGCCCGGAGCCCTTCGAAGCACAGCTGGCTCTTCTTCTCGCCCTCCTCCACCACGGTGATGACGATCTTGATGATCTTCTCCACGGTGATCTTGCCAGTCCTGTACTGCTGGATCAGGTTGCGGCGCTGCTCCTCGGTGAAGTACTCGGAGTTGATGATCTCCCAGATGGTCACCATCTTCCCCTGGAACCTGCCGAAGGGCGCCGACACGGTGGCTTTCTTGAAGACATCCTTGGCTTCCTTATCGGTGTAAGCCAGCTCCCGCCCCTTGGCCGCTTGGTCGGTCAGGGGCAAGAGGCAGAGGCCGGTCTCGGGGTCGGTCGTGCATCTCTCCATCAGCTGCATGTAGGTGAGGTTCTCCTGGGTGTTGGGGTCGAAGAAGCCCTTGGTGTCGTCGCTGGGGTCTGTGAGGACCTGGTTCATCTCTTGGTCGAAGTAGCCCCGCTTGTAGGCAGTTTCCACGGGCAGGCGGTGGCTGTGCACCGGGTCGATGATGCCGCCGGTGGCGATCTGGGCTTCCAGCAGGCGGATGCCGTGGTCTTTGACGATGAGGTCTTTCTTCATGGCCTGGAAGAGGGAGATCTTGTCTCCGGTGTAGGGGTCACGGTAGCCGGTCACGGCCCTCTCGGCAGACAGCATTTTATTGTGCAGCTCCGGCCCGATCACTCCTTCTTTCACAGCCTCGTTTACAGACAGCCTCTTGTTTCTCACGGGGTCGATGATGAAGCCGGAGGCAGCTTGAGCTTCCAGGAGGATGAGTGCTGTGCCTGGGCTGAGAAACTTTTTCTTCATGGCCTCGTAGATGCTCACCTTCTCGTTGGTGGGTTTAACGAGCAGGCCGGCAACGCTGCTCTGGCCCCGCAGGTATCTCTTGACGTCATCCCTCCGCGCGAGCTCTTCGACCGTCACCGTGCCCTGCACCAGCTTGTCCAAGCTCTCCTGGCTCAGGATGCCAGCCTCTGCCAGCTTCTCTGCGGGCACCTTCTGCCGGATGCCTTCGAAGGCGAACTCCGGCTCCCCATTCGGGGCCAGCCCGTCTAGGACGTCTCTGCCATTCGGCACGGCTTTGGTCGGAGCCGCCGGTGTCACCGAAATCAGGGTTTCCTCAGGGAGGTCGTCAGTCTGGATCATGATCTCCCGCGTCTGTGCCAGAGCCGGCCGGTGCTCCTCTTGCAGCTGCTCCAGTTTGTCCCTCAGCTTCTTGTTTTCTTCTTCCAGGAGCTTCTCCTGCTGCTGCCGCTGCGCCTCCAGCTGCTGCAGCTCCTCCTGCTTGCGGCGGACGCTCTCCTCCGCCTCCTTCTGCTTCTTCTTGGCCGCGTCCAGCCTGGCACCCAGCTCCTGCTTCTCCTGCTCCATCTGCCGCTGCTGCCGCTCCTGCTCGGCCTTCAGCTGCTGGGCCTTGTCCACCTCGTCCTTGAAGAGCTTCTCCAGCTTGGCCTTCTCCTCCTCGATGAAATGCTCCTTCTGCAGCAGGGTGTCCTTCTCCGTGAGGAAGGTCTGCTGCAGGACCTGCGTCTCGTGCCGGAGCTGCTCGCGCTGGGCCAGCTGCATCTGGAGCGGGGACAAAACGGGACCGTTAGATGGAGCCCGGGCAACCGCGCACGGAGGCAAAGCAGCGCGGGGCACGCGGGGCCGGTCGTTAGCTGGCGGGGGGCGGTGCTGGCTGAGAGCCTGACGGGGTCGAGGCAGCGCTGGGTTAGGGGCAGCCCCGGGGCGCGTGTTAGTGAAGCAGCCGGCTCCTCGCCGCTGGACGCACAGCGTTAGTGGCGATGGGGGGCGGGGAAGGGCACGGCTGCGACCCGTGCCAGGATTGAACAAGGAGGGGAGGGCACATGGCGGGGAAGCTGATCCCATCCTGCTACGGGTCCCGGGGCCACTGTTGGTCCCATGCGGGCCAGCGAAGGAGGGTGCGCCCCTCCGGGACCAGGCGGGGATACCTGACTGCGTGCTGCGGTTCGTTGTGTTTTTTGTTTTTTGCAGCGAGGAACGAGCCGCAAGGGAGAGGGGCTGAACCTGGAGGACTCTCGGACGCTGGGTACCTACCCCTAAGTCCCCGGGGCCTCCAAACAACCTCCCTTCGCAATGCTCGCCCTACGGACGGGGGAGCGAGAGCTGCGAGCAGCCCGTGGGGACGCAGCGGGGCCGGGGCGCACATGCAACGGGCCACGTGGCCGTGGGGGTGGTCTGAGAGCCCGGGGGGTGGTCGGGGAGCTCCACGCCGGCTGTCCGGGGGACAGCGCGGGACGCTGGAGCGGAGAGCCACCCCGCGGAGACTGACCCGCGCGGGGAAGGGGCCGCGGGAAGGGTACCTCTTCCGAGCGGTGCTGCAGCTGCTCCGCCTCCTGCTTGAGCTTCTCCTTCTCCCGCTCCAGGTCGGCGATGGCTCTGCGCAGCTTGTCGGCCTCCTGGTCGCTCTGGTGCCGCTGGATCTCCAGCGTCTGCACCAGCGTCACCTTCTCGCGGGGAGCCAGCTCGGTCTGGTGCAGCTTCTCGCTGATCTCCTCCGCCTGCCTGCGGAAGCGCTTGGCGTCCTCCTCAGCCTTGTCCTTGGCCAGGCCCATCTCCGTCACGTGCAGCTTGAGGCGCTCGGCCTCGGCCGAGATCTCCAGCTGCCGCCGGCGCTCGGCCTCCAGGGTCTTCTGGAAGCCCTCGGTCTCCTCCACCAGGCGCTGCTCCATCTGCTCCTTGTCCTCCTGCAGCTTCTTGGCGTGCTCCTGCGCCAGGTCCTTCTGCTTCTGCAGCATCTCGGCCTCGGCCCGGAGCCGCGTGGCCTCCTGCACGGCCTGCATCTTCTCCTTCAGCATCTTCTCGGCCAGCGCCCGCTGCTGCGCCAGGTCCTCCTCGGCCAGCTGCCGCAGGCGCGCGGCCTCCTGCGCCTCCACGCTCAGGCGCGCGGCCTCCTCGGCCACCTGCCGCATCTTCTCGGCCTCCTCGGCCAGGACCTTCTGCGTGTTGTCCTTGTCCTTGAGGATCAGCAGCTTGTTCTCCTGCTCGATGCGGTTCTTCAGCTTGACCAGCTCCTCCATCTGCACCCGCACCTTGAGCAGCTCCTCCTCCGCCTGCGCCCGCTGCCGCGTGGCCTCCATCACCTCCTCCTTCAGCCGCTGCAGCTCCTCGTCCAGGATGCCCTTCTGGTGGTCCGTCTCCTCCAGCTGCAGCTTGACCTTGGCCAGCTCCTGCTCCACCTGCGCCTTCTGCCGCAGCGTC